TATATATATATATATATATATTGAGTAATGCTCTATATTTATTAAATGCTAGAACTATTATGTGTGTATATTATCAAACAAAAGCTTTTAAACCAAAGGAATAAGTCGGAGAATTCATTTAAACAATTTCATTCACCACGGTTTATCGGCTACTAGACTTTTTTGTGAAGATATATGAAAAAAATAAACAACTTAAACAAACAACTACAAAAAATAACATAAAGCAAAAAATACGTAAAGCGTGTCACACTACCTTCTATAATATTGTCTTGAGATAGACACAATATTATTTTTAGAATACACAAATATTTAAACATATGTGTTAGTCAATACTTCGAGCATTTAACAAATAATTACAGATTAAACAAAGATTTAAAAAATATGTATGTATTCACATACATATTTTAAAACACATGTGAATATATACATATATATGTTTATATTTACCAGTAGGCTTTTAGATAAAACATGTGAATATATACATATGTATTCACATATATATACATATATATTCACATGTGTTTTATCTAAAAGTCTACTGGTTGTTCACTCCCACTATTTCAAATTTCTATCATTCCCTCTCCGCTTATTTGATCCCTCATACAAGAGAGACTCTATATACGGCACTGATGAACACCTTCAGTTATGACTGAGCAAGCCAAAGGAAACTGTAAGAGACGCGTTCAATGCATTTTCCATTTTTCATTGTTTCAAAGTTTTCTGGAAGTATTCTTCTGCGGAGCCTAATTAAACCTGTTGAACCGTTCTTTCTACTACATATATAAATAACATACTACATATACTCTACTACATATATAGATAACAGATCGAGTTCACATAGTGATATAACCGTGCACAGCCAGATAGTTTGACAAAAGAATTCGGTGTTGAGATCACAGCGTGCCATATACTTGAAGCGCCACTTTGATGCTTAGCGCTTGTCTCGAGTAAAAAACCATATATTTCTCATTGGATCTTATAACTATATATTTTAATTAACGTAGGTAAGTGATATAAAATAAAGATATTATTATAGTACAAATTATTTACTGTGTGTTATATACACGAATCTCTCTAGATATTTGTTTTTCTATGTGTATATAATTACATTGCTATTCTTTTTTAATCTGAAATTTAATAATTTATTTATAGAGTATAAGATTCACATACGATTTAAGAGAATTGTCTAGTCTAGAGAAAAAAATAGATTAATTTTTCTACGGAATGTTAAAACATAAAAACTATTTTGTCAAAGTAGTTAAAATTAGTCAACATTTTTAACAAGTTACAGCTATTAGAAGATCATACGCACAAAAGTTAATATATATATAAAGCGTAAAAACTTGTAACATATATTTACTTTTCTTAAAACTGATAGTTTTCAAAATTGTTGATATATCTTAAGAACAAATTGATGAATTAACTTGAAATTTTAACAACATGTAACAAATATGTCATTCTCGGGCAACTATATCGATATTTTAAACATTTTTGTTTTTCTGGAGATAAAGACTCAGAAAATTCCATTTAATTTATTAATTTTTTGTTAATTTCTGTTATTTGTATAATTTTCTGTCTTGTTTATTTTATTCTTATTACTTATTTGTTCCAGACGCATTTGAGGGTTCTTGTTTTATACAAGAATCGGTATATAAGTTTATATATAAGGTTATATATATAAGTTTATATATAAGTTTCTAAAACTCTTAATTTCACTTTCTGTTCTATTATTTACTTTATTATTTCAAATTTTACTATTTTATTATTTCAAATATTTAAATTTTATGACTATTTTTCCAGTTATTTTACAGTTTAACGTATTTTAATATTTTGTAATTATTATTTTCACACGTTTTATACATGATGAAGGTGGAAAATAGTTTTAGATTTTTTGTCTTTTTTTAGTTTTATTTTATTTTTATAAGAAAAGGGCAACACATATCTGAATACGTTCTTCGTAAATTTTAATTTTGTTGTTTGACTATTTTTTTATTTCGAGACCCTTGTTGCTTAATTAGATTATTACTTTGAAGAGAATTGTAAGAGAATTGTAACATTTATTACTTTTATTATTCTTATTTATTATTCTTGTCAATGTTAAGTTTAAAATAGAAAGCAAAAATTGATTATTAGGTGTAATAACGCTACCCCATTATTTATTTTTTTTAAGCAATTGTTTTTAAGCAATATTTAGGTAGTTAACATAAGAACATTTATAAAAAGTAAAGCAATCTTTAGAATTGATGATCTTGATAAACAGCTCTCAATTGTTACAACATGTAACGTATATTTTTTTCTATTGCTCACAAAATACTTTATAACTTTTCATATAATTATGATTTAAAGACAATATATTTGAAAAGCAAAATTATGCATAAACACATATAAAACTAAACATCTTTATATTTTTTACTGTTTGAAAAACATTTCTAAACCTAATTTCAAAACCGATATCTAGACCAGATAATATCCTTAAGACAATTATCTATTTATAGTCTTGTTTGTGTTTGGTGTACTAAATATTATAAAATAATAATAATACAAAATTGCTACAATAAAATATTAGTAAATAAAATATTATTTAAATATTTGTCTTTTATCTAAAGATATATTATTGTTAAAAAAATATCTCCATTTTTAATCGTCACTTTGAAGTCATAGTAATTGACGAAGTAACGAAATGACAATAGTTAATTCTTTTGTTGTACGTTATGTGTTTTACTTATGCGTAATGAAAAGCAAATAATACAAATATTTTATCTGCAAGTTTTCTCTTTATAACTTTAGTGACGTTAATTAAAAATAATATATTTCGTATTTTAGTTATAAATTTATTTTTTGTCATGTTAAGAAAAAAAATGATTTTGTGTAAAAAATACACCGTTCAATAATCTAATTAAATAAAAAGATAACAATCCTTTTAAAGGTAATATATTTAAGGAAATGTAAAAACTAAGTATTCTTGTATAGTTTTAAATAAATGTAAAACCAATACAAAATGTTAGTTAATAAAACAATTTAATATTTAATATTTTACAAAATTTTAAATATTCACAGATTCTTGTGTAATAAAAAAAGATAATACATATATTTTAGAAAAAACAAAAAATTTATAGAATTATAAAATTATCTCTAGTATTGTATATAGTAAAATATAGAAAATAAAACTGAAACTGAAGATAATTTTAAACTATATACATTTTTAGTAATTGCACATTATATATTCAAGAAATTTTATGTATATCCATTTCTTGTTACTTATGACGTAATTTTGTTGTCATAAATATGACGTCACTGATTTGCAATTTAGAACTCTCATCATTTATAACATTATTTGTAATATGATTTTGGTGATAACGGTAGAAAACGTTGACCTAAAAAACATTTTACATTTTGCTGTGTTGGTAAAAATCAATTAGCAAATAATACTTATTTGTAAAACTAACGCATATCCAATTATAACAGATAACATATATTTTTTCTTCACATCATATTTTTATATATAGTATTTTAACATTATATTTTATTTACATAGACTTTCAAATTAACATCGATGACTTGGAATGGTTTTTAAATATATCAACAAAACACAGAAAGAAAAATACGAAAAATGATCTACGCTTTTTATAGACATGTGGGTTTCTCTTTACTTACTGTATTAACTGTTTTAGCAGGTATGTATTTTGGTATCAAGTATTTTAATATATTAGGTCTATTATACAAGAAATTAAAATTACATATACATATATGTATAGTAACTATATATTAACTTAAAAAATTTATATACATTATTAAAATATTTCTCTATCAAGAAAAACTGTTCTTAAATAATAATAATGCTCTGTTTTACACGCTATATATATTGTAACATACGTTAATATTTACGAGTATACATAGCAATATGACAAAAATCTTTTTTTTTTTAGATAAATGAAACATCGCGTTTTTCAGGTTCGCGTTTTGCTCATTTCATATAATGAGATTATTCTTTATCCATTTTGATTAGATAGAGCTATGTAACCTCGTGACCCTTCCTTTTGATATCAGTAAGCTTATTTCGGTCTTAAAATTAACTATTCTATGAATGCAGATCTTTACATTTATACGCTAAAATAATTATTCAATGATAAGATATTCATGACTTAAATTGCGTATATTTGTACATATTATCATTACAGTAGATAGTGCCTCAAATATATTACATACTTAAAAAATATGAACATAATTAAACGTTAAGATTATAACACGTTAACAATTACAACAGTAACTAAAGTACTACATTTTTTGGTTACTTGTTAGTGACAAAACATGTATAGAAAACTCGTTACATTTGCTATAAGAAATATCTTATATTTTATTAAAGTAAAAGTACTTTTCATACATATTTGATTATGGAAGGTTGTTATTTTGAATTTTCTCTAATAAAGTAAAACAAAACATCATCTAGTTTACTTTTGCTTCAATTGTAATAAAAATAAAAACACAAAACACATATACAAATAAAATGTGTGTGTGTGTGTGTGTGTGTGTGTGTGTGTGTGTGTGTGTGTGTGTGTGTGTGTGTGTATACAGGGTATCCGACAATTACTTTAGCATCTCATGTAGGCAGGGAGAAGAAGTAAACCTAGGTCGAAAAATCCTGAACCATTTTTTTCTATTACATATAATAAAAGAATAATTATTGAATAAATCAAGCCAATCAGCGCCGACCTTTAGCCGAACGCACATCAGTTAACCACGCGCCTGGTGTGCGTGAGGCTCCGCGCGGCTCACGCACACCAGTGCTCACTGACGTGTGTCCGGCTAAACGTCGGCGCTGATTGGCTTGATTTATTCAATAATTATTCCTTTATTATATGTAATAGAAAAAAATGGTTCAGGACTTTTTGACTCAGGTTTACTCCTTCTACCCGCCTACAAAAGATTTTACACTAATTTATCACACTCTGTAAACACACACACACACACACACACACACACACACACACACACACAAAACTATCAAAAACAAAAAGAAATCGAAAATGTCTCATTTGCAAATTTATGTTTATTAACGATTTTTTGCCTTATTTACAAATGCACTAAATTCACTTAAAATATTTACGTTTTTTTAAACATCTTACAATAACTTAAAATATTTGTACTATTTTTCTTATAGGAAATAAATATTTTACATTTACATTTTTTAATAATTTCATTTACATATTCTTTCTTTTTTACTGTTTTCTTTAGGATCTGTAGATTCTCAATATGGATCACGGGATTACAGAGGATCAATAAGAGGTGTGAGAATTCAAAAGTTTTCAAAATCATGTTTGTAATTAAACTTTGGAACAACCGTCATGAGCCGATGAACAAGAGTAGAACAAGACATCCCTGAGACAGAATTGAGACAAAAGGAAAAGTCCCAACAGTGTCCCAAGTGTGTCTAAAAGTGTGTCTCAATGGGTGTGTTTAGCCGAAGTTAGCGCTACGTAGCGCTACGTAGCGGCTTCATGTAGCAGTTGCAAGTGCTGCGTTACTTCTATAGAACATGCTGCGCGTAGCAATACTGTCCAGCAGAAGTAACGCAGCAATTGCAACTGCTACATGAAGACGCTACGTAGCGCTACGTAGCGCTAGCTTCGTCTAAACACACCCAATGTTTCAAATTTGAGACACACTGCGTGTTTTTGTGTCCCAGCGGTATCTCTAGCATGTCCTGTTTTATTGTGTCTCCAACGCGTCCTAAAGTACAAAATGTTCATTTTGTCCCTGTGATGTTCTCAAGGTGTCTCTAGAATATAATTGTTTAAAGTGTTTAAATTTCCTCATTCCTGGCCTTCTGCTTGAGTACAATATAAGGATCTTCTCCTTCCTCAAAAAGGAAAGAACACAAATTTTCATCAACTCACAAAATATAACTATAATTAACTTGACATAATATTGCAAATATATCATCACGCAAAATTAGTCTTAATCGCTTTTACTATAAATGTTGAATACCCGAGAAAACATGGATTAGATCTAATTTAAATTTAACGAGATAAAAAAAATGGAAAAATAGATCTAATTAGATCCAAAGTAAATCTAAGTAGATATAAAGTAGATCTAAATAAATATAAAGTAGATCTAAATAAATAAAGGTAAATCTACCGAAAGTTACACTTTTATTTATTATTAGATCTACTCTTGATCTACTCAGATCTATTATATTAAATCACCTCAGATCTGTTCAGATCTGCTCAAATTTAACTAAATCTGAGTAGTTTTAATTATAGTAGATCTGAGTAGATCTAAAGTGAATTAAATAATATATAAAAGTGTAAATTTAATGGATTTGCTTATATTTATTTAGATCTACTTTATATTTATTTAGATCTACTTTATATCTATTTAGATTTAATTTGGATCTAATTAGATCTATTTTTCCATTTTTTTTATTTCGTTAAATTTAAGTTAGATCTAATCCATTTTTTCCCGAGTATAATATTACAATACAATATAATATAATAATAATATAAGACAATACAAGACATGAACAATCAACCAACAAAATAATATAACTTTCTACTAATACTTTTATTTTATTGATAAACACACAGAGGTTCACCGTTAAAACTGTCACAATCGTTAAAAAACAGAAAAGTGTCTGTTCTCATTAAAGTGTCTAGTTTACATTAAAAACAGAAATAAAAATTAAAAACCTTAAAACATCTCTTGTGCATATAGAAAACTAAACAAAAAAGTCACTATATATAAACTGCAACATAGGCCACGTTCATCAGACTGAGCAGATCAGTGAACGCTTAGTGATTCTTTAATATGATTGAATTTTGCATTTAGATCTTCGCTGGATCTAAGTGTACCCAGCAAACAATTTCTGATTGCGCAGACCTGGCAACAGAAACTGTGTGCAGAAACGCTACAATACGGAAACATGCTTTGTGTGCTGCCAAAGCTGTTAACACACAGACACAAAAAACGCAACATGGTCACCATAACTCACTAAAACCATATCCTACTGAGGACACAAATGGATATGGATTTGATGGCGGTTGGCTACAAAATCGCGACATCTAACAACCAAATTGTTTGCTGGGTAGAAACCAATCATATTGAAGAATCACTAAGCGCTCACTGATCTGCTCAGTCTGCTGAACATAGTCATATATGAATAGCAACGAGTTCACAATTACAAAGACAACATGGAAATGCCACAGATTCTACTAATTCTCATCTGAAAGAAAGGAAGTACTCAGCACTGAAATGTCATTGAGATTTGCTCTCGTTTTTGCCTTGTCTTCATTGCTCTGTTTTTTCAGTATCAGATTCCGCCACATCACTATGATTTTCATCTTCATTGCTTTTCTGATTTTCTGAGCCTGACTCAGAACTATCTTCTGTCTCATTGTTTTCTTGATTTAACATCGCTAAGAACAAGTTTAAGACAAAAGAAGGACAGGTTGCGAGACACATTAGAGACAGAAAACGCTAAATATGTACGTAAGTCATTTGTTAAAGACAGGACACAAAAGAGACAATAGAGAGACAACTAAAGACAAGAATAAGACTAAAAAAGACAAGATTGAGACAAATTAAAGACACGGATGTACTCAGAGATACAGCAGGTACAATATAAGAACAAAGGACAGGAATGAGACACAAAAAAGACAGATCTGGGACACGGAAGACACGTTTTAGACATTGGAAGAACACAACTCTGTGTCCTACCCTTGTCCATCGGCTCATGAAGGAACTCGTAACTAGGAAACATTCTTTTTCACTTATCTATGATGATTGTATACAACATTAGTATTATTTGGTGATATATTTTGGTGATGACAAGATCGTTAAAAAATTTCAAAATTACAAACAAAGATTGTGTTCCAAATTTACTGCCAGTGCTGCAGCACTTGCAACCAGTGTTTTAAAATGTATTATAGCTTGTTGTGGCAGTGCTGTAAAAACATAATGACGTCATTAATATTAATAATAGTGTGGATAAGGCAGTTAGAGCATAACACCGGTGTTGATGTGTAAATGTGTAAGTAGTTGATTTATTTAAACTAAGTGAGCATATATAGACGTTTTGACCTTCTTTTTAGGTCCTTATCAATATATTCTACAATAAAAATTATAAAAAATTTTTTTAAATAAATGTACAACATATTGCGAAGAAAATAACATCAGCGTTTTCTGTAAGTTTTTAATCTCAAGCGTTTGCAATTGTAACATGTTCTCTAATCAATTTTTTTTGCGACCATCATTATTTAAAAAAATTTTTTATAATTTTTATTGTAGAATATATTGATAAGGACCTAAAAAGAAGGTCGAAACGTCTATATATGCTCACTTAGTTTAAATAAATCAACTACTTACACATTTACACATCAACACCGGTGTTATGCTCTAACTGCCTTATCCACACTATTTTTAATTATTTGGAGCTAATCAACGTTTTCATCATAATTTTGTCATTAATATTGTTGTCTCTTCCTGCTGTGGCTGCTGTAGCTACAGATATGAAGCAGCTAAAGCAGTAAAGATGACAAAGATGAGAAAGCGAGTCACATATTTCTTTAATGTGATTTTCATATATTTATCTTTTTGCATATTGTTTTTTATATTTTTAAGTTATATATCTGCTTCGTGTTTACTTTCTCTGCTATGATTGAGCATTGAAACTCACTCCACACAGAGCAGAACATTCTATTAAAGATCTAGTAAACATCCATGATGAAAATTGGAAACATATAATGGACGTCCATGTTATCTTTAATAGATATCTATATGATATGTAAAGTTTACTTTTTACCCCGATAGCCAAATGATAGCAGTATGTCAGCAGTATGCACGCAAATTTAATCAGCATTTTGCAGCAGATTCCACTCAGCTGTGTCATGATAGTGAGTGAATTATGTAGGCACAATATGTAAAGAAAACAACACAGCAAAAATATAGACATAAATGAAGAATGAAATGACAATAACACGTTATGCTTTAAATCTGCTACATTTTTTAAGCAAGTTCTGCTTAATTGATGCAATAATATTTGCATCATGGCATGACACAGTTGTATTCTCTCTTTTTTCTGTTTTTCTGTCGACACTAGTTGAAATAACAGCCCAGATAACCAAGACTGAGTGATCATATTTTGAAAAGTTTGCAATAACACATTATGCCAGTACAATGTAGCCAGCATTCAAACATAATCTGTTATTTCAACTAGTGTCGACAGTAAAACAAAAAAACAGAATATAAATATGTCATGCCGTGATGCAAATATTATTGCATCAATCAAGCAGAACTTGCTCAAAAAATGTAGCAGATTTGAAGCATAACGTGCTATTGTCATTTCATTCTTCATTTATTTCTATATTTTTGCTGTGTTGTTTTCTTTACGTATCGTGCCTACATAATTCACTCACTATAATGATACAGCTGAGTGGAATCTGCTGCAAAGTGCTGATTAAACCTGCGTGCATACTGCTGGCATACTGCTATCATTTGGCTATCGGGGAGATTATGTTTGAATGCTGGTTACATTGTACTGGCATAATGTGTTATTGCAGATTTTGCAAAATATGCTCACTCAGTCTTGGTTATCTGGGTAAGTATTCATAAGAAATCTACTGGATGTATTATATATATTCCCTAGACATTTTGTAATAATCCATGAAAATGCAGTAGACATCCCTCATAGCACGTAACATTACTGCAATATCACAATAATATTGTTTTTCTATTGCAATATTATACTATCAGTAAACAATTTGCTCGCAATTTGCCAGCAAATTATCAGCAATATAAGCAAAAATACTCAGCAAATTGACATCAACTGTGTCCGCATTAAACTTGGATTTTGTTGCTAGAACTTGTCGATAAAAAGTAACAGCAAAGCTAAAAAAGCTAGCAAAAACCGAGCAAAGCTTGATAACATAACCTGAGACCAAATTGACGCCAAATATGAAGCAAAATCTGTACAACACAATTTGATAGCAAAATGACATTTATAATATAAAAAAATGATTTAGGTTTATAATTTATGTCCTTGAGTAAGTTTTCTTGGTTATTCTGTACGTCTTAGTATTAGTTGTCTTAGTATTACTTTGTAGAAAAAACCTATTGTGTTAGAAATCATCTCGACTGGACTCGAACTTGAAACCCGGAACCTTCTGATTACCAAGCGGGCACTCTATCAATTCAGCCATTGAAACTTTTAGAATCAATTACTTTAAAACTAATGTTAATGGCATTCAGTGATATTGTTAGTGATTTCAAGTAAAACTATTTGTTACTAA